TCCACGTGCGAGAGAGAGCCAGTTTCACTATATCGAGGAGATTACAGATCACAGAGGAGTATGAGAAGTATTTATAGTACTTCTCCATGTGGGTCTAAACCTAATTCAATATGGCAAAGGAAACGGTTACAGACCAGACCCTGAACCCGAACCCAAATAACATTGAACCCGTACCCAAACGGTTACCAGTCGTAGCGGCTGATAGTCCGATTCAAGTCACATCAACATATCTCCACCTTGACTTGAATCCTCTTCCTCTGAAATCTCTGATGTACTTTGCTCCTTCTCTCTCTCTCTCTCTCCCTCCATCAATGCCCCGTAGGGCGGAGTCACCCACTCAAGACATTTAGCAAGTCCAAGCAGTGTTGGAACTTGCCATGTGGAACCGGCTTCGTGAACATATCATCAGGATTATCCGCGGTGCCAACCTTCTTCACCTTACTCCTCTTCTCTGTCCTCAAGAAATGATACCTCACGTCAATGTGCTTAGTCCTCTCATGGTGGACTTGATCCTTGGCCAAGCATATTGCACTCAAACTGTCGCAATACACCACTTCCTGATCATGATGTAGACCCAGATCACCAACCAGTCCCTTCAACCATATTCCCTCCTTAGCATCTTCTGTCAACGTCATATACTCTGCCTCAGTAGTAGACAATGTCACCGCCGACTGCAGAGTTGCCTTCCAGCTCATTACAGAACTCCTAAGAGTGAATACATAACCGGTCATCGATCTCCTCGTGTCAACATCTCCAGCATAGTCCGAGTCAGAATACCCAGACACCAAGCACTCTGTATCACTTCCGAAGCTAATCCCCACATCAGGTGTACCCTTAAGGTACCGGAAGATCCTCTTCACAGCCTGCCAATGCTCCTTCCCAGGTTGTATCATAAACCTGCTGACAACACTAACAACATGTGCAAGATCAGGTCTAGTGCATACCATAGCGTACATCAAGCTACCTACTGCACTAGCATATGGGACTCTCGACATGTACTCCTTCTCAGCCTCTGACTGCGGTGCATACGCTGAGGATAGATGAACATTTGAAGCACTATGAGTATTTAAGGGATTTGCTGAAGACATGCCAAACCTCGACAATATCTTCTGGATGTAGCTTTTCTGTGACAAGAAAAGCTTCGTCTTCGACCTGTCCCTGTAAATCTCCATACACAAGATCTTCTGAGCAGCTCCCAAATCCTTCATCTCAAACTCAGCACTGAGAAGCCCCTTCAACTTCTGGATATCAGACTTTGACCTCGCAGCTATGAGCATATCATCCACATACAGAACTAGATATATCATCGAACCATCCCCTGCCTTGCTGTGATACACACAATAATCATATGGACTTCTTTTGTAGCCCAGCTCAAGCATGTAACTGTCAAATCTCTTGTACCACTGCCTCGGAGATTGCTTAAGTCCATACAAGGACTTCTTCAGCTTACAAACATAGTCTTCCTTTTCCTAGAACCTGGAATCCTTCTGGCTAGGTCATATAAATTTCTTCCTCCAACTCTCCATGTAGGAAAGCTATCTTCACGTCTAGCTGCTCGAGCTCCAAATCATAATGCGCCACTATGGCTAGTAGCACCCTGATCGAAGTATGTCTGACCACCGGTGAGAAAATCTCATTGTAGTCAACTCCTTCCCTCTGCGAGAAGCCTCGTGCAACCACCCGAGCTTTAAATTTCATGCCCTCTTTAGAAGTGATTCCTTCCTTCTTCTTGTAGATCCACTTGTTTGTAACAATCTTCCTTCCCTGTGGTCGTTTGACTAGCTCCCAAGTCTGATTCCTGTCATGGGATTCCATCTCATCTCCCATTGCGGCAAGCCACTGATCAGCTTCACCACCCGAAAATGCTTCCATATAGGACTGTGGCTCTCCTGCATCCACTTCTTCAGCAACCTGAAATGAATACGCCACCATGTCCTCGAAGCCATACCTCTGTGGAGGTACTCCTGCAGTCGCTCTCTTCGGTCTACCGGAAGTAATAGACTGTTGAGCTCGTGCACTGGACTCTGAAGTTTCTGGCTCTACAGAGACATCCTCATCATGTTGATCTTCTCCACCTTGGTGCTCAAACTTACTCTCTTTGAGAGTTCGCAGCTCCGCCTGTTTATCAACATTCCTGCTACCTTCAACAACAGTAACCTTCAACATGGGGTTAAACATAGACTTCTCATCAAATATCACATTTCTACTGAGTATAACTCGATGCTCAGAAGGTGACCAGACTCGAAATCCCTTAACTCCATCTCCGTAACCGACAAATACACCCTTATTTTCTCTTGGGTTCAGCTTACCCTCATCCACATGATAATAAACAGGATACCCAAAAACTTTCAGTGAAGAGTAATCAGCAGGCTTACCATAGCACACTTCATAAGGAGTCTTAAACTCGATACATGTGTGAGGTCCACGGTTGATTAGGAAGCACGCCATGTTTACTGCTTCTGCCCAGAATCTTCTCTCTAGTCCACCATTTGAGAGCATGCACCGTGCTCTCTCCAACAAAGTCTTGATCATCCTTTCTGCAACGCCATTCTGGTGGACTAGAGAGAAGATTCTGGGCATAAACGAGCAAATTTTCACATTTTGGGAGTAAATTTAACTTTATTTTTCACATTTTCACATATATTCTGAAAATATTTCTATTATAAAAGTTGTAGTTCACGAAAAGTTATGCGAAATGAAAAAAAAAAGTTTGCTACGATCGGATAACCGAGCACAAAGTTAAGGTTGTTGGAAATTTCAAAGGAGTGGTTCGAGTTCGTCTCCACATGGTTCGAGGCTTATATCATCGATCTACGACTAGATCGAGTCTCCTACACTCGAACCGGTTAGTAGTTCGAGTTCCTCAAACTCGAACCACTCCAAACTTAGGTATTTTGGGAAATTTTTTTATAAGTGTGGTAGTTTAGGAATTTGTTTTACTTTTATCTGTATTTAGGGAATTAATCCGCTACCTCCCCTGCGTCATGGCTCGACCCGCAGTGATCAGCCGCCTCGCCTCTAGAGGCAGCTTGTAGCTCGTTGCCGGTGATGGCGACCATGGATGTTTACGCTGAAACGATTCGACTCCCTTTTTCCCAAGTGAACCATATCCTCTTTTTTTTCCTTCTTCGCAGACCCGCACCAACAGCATCACAGAGCTACTCCAGTCCTTCCTGCGACACACCCACAGGTCATCAATCATGGCCGCTTCCACTCCCAATCCACGCCGTCCTCCGATGTCTGTGTGTATAGATAAGGAGAAAAAAAGGGTTAATATTTTCGTATGGTCTGAACTTTGACCAAAATAAACATCCTGGCCAATCTTTTCGATCTATAACATCTTGGCCCGAACTATACACCAAAATAAACAATTTGGCCAGATCCGACTTTTGACCGTTAACTTGGACGGTCAAACGCGTTGACCGTTAGTCGCCATGTCACTGCCAAGTCAGCATTAAATATTTAAAATAATTCACATTTCCACACATTTCCTAATTTTAAATTATTTAAATTAAAAAAAATCATCTAATACCTTATATAACCAAAAATAAAAAACAAAAAAAAATTAAATATTTATCAGATCTTCTGACTTGGCAGTGACGTGGCAGTGATGTGGCGCGTTGACCGTTAGTCAATGCGTTTGACCGTCCAAGTTAACGGTCAAACATCGGGTTTGGCCAAATTGTTTATTTTGGTGTATAGTTCGGGCCAGGATGTTATAGATCGAAAAGATTGGCCAGGATGTTTATTTTGGTCAAAGTTCAGGTCATACGAAAATATTGTTGGCACAAAGTTCAGGTCATACGAAAATATTAACCCAGAAAAAGTTTATTTTGAGTGGGTGAATTTTTTTATTTTTATTTAAATTTTAAAAATATTCTTATGTGTCAATGACATGGCAGATATATTGGCACAAAGTCAACAAATTGTTGACCGCCGCCGTTAAGTTGACTGTCAAATCTAACAGTCAACGTAACAAAATGAGTGTGGACAAAATTGACATGAGAACTATAAACTTTGGGACATAAGTGTCGCATTATTAACCTAGGAATGCAAGCGACTCAAACCTTAAACGATGGGCCCTTTTCTTGTATTATGCCTAATGAATTAGCTTTTGATTTTGCTTTTGTTTGTTTTGGACTTTTGGTTCGGTACTTATCGTTTGTGGTGGTTGTAGTAGTACGTCAGAAATATTGGATAGGGACTGTGTAGGGGTGCTTGCTCTTTGTGGACTATAAACCAATTCTAGCTATGTCAAAAACTATGCACATATGCATTCTTAATTGGTAGAAGATATTCAACTCCAAGGGTTACTCTTCCTTAGCATTACACCGAAATGTACTTGGAAAAGTATTAGTGACACTTGTCCAACTAATAGGAATATTTCTTTTGATGATTTTTTTACTTTGAATGAGTTTACCACAATTAATGAAAATGGGGCGTAGAGGCACACTTGGTATTATGAAAAATTGATAGAGAAAGAGGCGGACTAATATGTATTGTGCAATTAAACGTGGGAGGGGTGAGGACCACAAAATTCACACCACAAAGTCATGAAAATACATCACAAAATCTAGACAACAGACCTTAGAAAGGTGATTACATTTTTATTTTATTTTAGTCAAACTAAATAGGAAAATTGGCAATTTGTGAAAATTATGAATATTTTTAGTCAAAATATGTTGATCGAGTTGTAACATTCGGGCCAAACAATAATAATAACCATTAATTCAATTGCAAAGTCATAAAGTTTTCACAAATCGCTTGATAGTTTTGATAAGACGATGCACAATTATGCGATGAGTATTAAATTTTCTTTTGCGATGGGTATTAAATTTTCTCAGTTTCTCTTCTTCATCAACATTATTAATGTTTCACTTTAATGTTGTGTTATATACTCTATATTTGCATAACGACAAAATAACTATTAATTTGGTACCCTATCTAGTATTATATAAACGATCTAATTTTAAGGAAAGGGGAAAACATAAACAAAAACAAAAGAACAAAAAGAGTTGACTCGTTCATTTGTTTATCACCCGCTGAAATGGCCGTGACAAAAACTCTACGATTTGTCCCTCTCGTAACAACCTTTATCATCATCTTCATTTCTACTGCCATTACTCATGGCCACGCGACCAGTATTACTCCTAGGAAGGTAAGGTTAAGTAAAGTTCCAACAATTAGATGGAATCTTGTTTTTTATTTCCCCCTTTTGTTGATAATCATATCTATTGACTTATTAGTTTGACTTTTGCTTTCAATTGTGTAAATTGTTTGATCTTGGTGAAATTGTATCCTACCAGCGATCCCATTGAAGTAATTTTTTATTAGAGGTTAAATTGATAGGAATTTTTTATCACTATGAAATGATTGAATCACGGTTAAACAAAAATTTTAAACATAAAATTATTTTATCGTCAAATTTTCCTGTAAGACTTTACAATCCATAAAATTCTTAACTCCTCTGTTTTGTAGGTTTACTTGGTGTTTCTGGATTCAGAGATTATACCTAGTACCAAACCTGCACATCTAAATCTTCTCAAGACTGTGCTTCAAGACATGTATGCTTCAACAATATAAAATATTACTGTAGTAACAAAAAAATTTCCTTCATGAATCATCTAGCTAGCTAGGGTTAATTTCTAACCCTGTTTCACCCTACGCTTTTTCTTGACTGCCTATGTCTTTGATATAGCACACCAGAGGAATCTCTTGTCTACGACTATCGCTCTATAAGTGGGTTTGCAGCGAAACTCAGTGAAACTGAAGCAAAGCATTTAGCAAGTAAGTTGTTGTGTTTAATTTGATTAATTTTGGGTAGTATTTAATATTTAGAGTTTGAGATATATGATGCTATATCCTAAATGTATTTGTCACAGGTGTCAAGGGTGTGGTATCAGTGTTTCCGAATCAAGTTGTCCACCTCGATCGTCCTTAATTAAGAGGATTGTGTGGGCCCAAGTTTCGGTAGACAAAAACGCTTGGATTTGGTTAAAGAGAGAAATATATAGTTGGAAACCTTTGAATCTAGACGATCTATTCACTATTGACATAAATCGAGCTTATTACTAAGCTTAAGTTATTTCTTTCAAGAATTAATACCTACTAAGTCGTTGAATGATTGCTTACTCTCAATAAAGTTATCTGAGGTCCATGTAAGCTTCAAAATGATATCCCCACAACTTTCCCCTTGCACTCTCGTGGTCATTTAACTGTTAGATGTGTGTAAGATACTCAATTACCAGCTATTTGATTTCGACACAAACCTAAAAGCTCAAAGTATCGTTGATATCTCTATAGAATTTCAAGTATCTTTCAAGTTTGTCATTGCAAAATAAAGAAGCTTTATGACAATACTATGGAGTTCGGACGCCTAGAAACATAGATCCCATATTGAAGCCCCGAAACTTAATACGATCTCGAATCCCTGACCAATGTTGGTACTTTTAAATTTGTCATAAGAAAATACATCCAGGCTCAGAAGTACATGCATGCTTTGGACATGTCGAGTTCATCGTTATTCCCTATCCCAACAAATAGATATATTTAAGTTAAACAAAACATCTATTTGGTACCCAATAAAACCCAGAAAATGAAGGTTGTTGTAATGTATGAGCAACAACAGGACTCCTGACTAGGTGAGTTCCATCAGACCAAACCAGAACACTAGAGACAATCCCACACTGCTTCAGCTTTGCCTTCACTATGACACGAAACGACATCGTTTCACCCACATCTTTAAACCTCACTACTTTTGGGTTCACCTTGATCGTAAGCTCTTTAGAGGACATCACTTTTACCTTGTACTTGGAATGCCCTGTCCCAATATTTGTCACAGTTCTTCGGAACCCCCTCTTTACAGTTCCCTCAGGTTTTTCTAACAGGGTGAAAGAAGGGTAGTTCAGGTTCCACACATGTATCTTTTTGCCCGTTTCAGAACAATCCACAGCCTTGCTAGCCACTAGCTGGATTTCCGTCGCATTGTATATATCCTTGTCCGCACAAGAAATCAACATAATTATGCTCTCTTGCGTCATTTATCCAGGATTCAGCCTTCTTCAGGTTTATGACCCCTGACTCGTAATCAAGCACACATGACACACAGTTGTATAGTGAAGACTAAGTGCGGTCGACCACATCAGAATTTTGGACGACCACGGCGCACAAGACTCGCAAAATATTGTCGACCTCTTTTAGTACAAGGTCGACCAATATTTTATGATTAGTTAAGTAAAAACGATATTCGGCCGATACTGAAAACATACCTTAGCAAATAAGGTCGACCACTTAGATATAAGGTCGAACGGAATAAGCACCAGATTACACAAACACACGATCATAATAAGGACGATGAAATTACAACTTCACACCAACAGATTGCATAAATCTAATTATGATGAAAGTCTTAAATCTTCATCTATTTATAGAGAATATAGATGAAGTCCTTATCCTTACTAGTATGTGGAACAATTATCCCAAATAGTCAAGGATACACAAAATCCTAATTCTACAAGAAAAAGTACACAAAATTCCTGCACATATTGGTCGACCTCTTTATGGTCATGGTCGACCGTGTTTGCTAGAAAATCACCAGAACTGAATCCTTATTCAACATCATTTTGGAGCTAACTAAAATTTTCATAGGTCAACCATAAGCAGACGAGGTCGATCGCTTTGAGTAAACGATTAATACTCTAAATTCCTTGAAATCTATCATTGTAAAACTAATCAAATAAACAAAAAATCATTGAATATCCGAAAGAAAACAACCTCGCAAATCAAAATTTAACATATTATCTGAATAATGTAACATTGTAACTGAATGATATCATTTCTTGGCTTTTTTGTTTGAACTCTTTCTCTCTTTGCCTCGTTCCACGCATTCATCTACTATTTGCTTGAAAATATTTTCTCGTGCATGGTAGGGCAAAAGCGTATATGCCTTAATCATATCTTGTAGTAAACCGGAAATTCCGGGTATCGTCTCTCAGGGACTGGTACAACCTTATATTCTATCAAATTTATGAGCAAACTATAAGTGAAAATAGTTTAATGAGACTAATTTCTAAAAGCAAAATAAAATAAACAAATTAAATAAATGAAAATTGTCGGGAGAAATTCAATGGAAGAAAGCTCTGGGAGAAACACCGGGACTCGCTACCTATCATATTCAAATTAATTCACATATTCCAATCAATTTAATCCATATCTCTACTGTCAGGATATCACTACTATGATAGCTATCCCTGTCGGGAATTACTACGTACTAAACAATTAAATCAAATCCTACTGTCGTAGCTCAATGACTTAATTATTTAGCCTGAAGATCGATATCCTATTTAAGACCGAATAACACCTTATTTAATCCACTGTCGCTTCGATAAGTTACTATGTCACATGAAATACGTTCAGTCATTAGGGTTTCACTGTCGCTAATAACCTAATTAACAACAAATCAATGTATTGGTGGACAGTCAACACAAGCATCAAGTCAAGAAATAACTACATCTTATGGTGTTTCCACCAGAAATTGGGGTTTAGTTCATGACGAAAATAAAACACATAATCAAATTTATAATCATCATCGTATTAATTAAAGCTAAAAAAAAATACTGAGATTATGGAACGTAATCCCGACACCAATTTCTTCTCGCTCTAATCGCCTGTCTGTTTGCTCCGCTCGATAGCTCGCTGCGTCGCTAGTCGCCGACTGCGCTGCTCTCCCGTGATGTCCTGTTGACACCTAAAATTAATTTGGCCGGAATTAAATGCCGCATTAATTAGTCTCGGCATTTAAGTCGATACCGTGGGTAAAAAACGGTGTCGTTGGGAGTTGAGCAGTGTCACGGAGAACTAAAACGGTACCGCAATGAATCTCAACGGTACCGCAACGCTGGAAGCGACACCGCTTGCCGAAAAAAAAAAAAAGAGGGCCGTGTGTTTAATGGGGTTGAAGGAGGAGTCTTTAATTATTGAATTATTATTTTTATTTTTATTAAGCGGTACCGTGGGGAGTTAAAACGGTACCGCGAAACAGAAAATCAGAGCCGCGAGGAAGCTGGGCGGTACCGCGGAACTGGAGAGGGGCCGCGCAGTGTAGGTGTTGGGGAAGGAGTTTGTTTATAATTAATTAATATTTTTATTCCTTGTTGGAAGGGGAAAATCGGTACCGCATGGAGATAAGCGGTATCGCGGAGAGTAAAAACGGTACCGCGAAAGCATGGTAAGCGGTACCGATTAATTAAAAGTCATATCGGGCAAGTAACCAAAATTCAACCGGCCCAGTGCGTGCGCCGACCGCGGTGGTTCCATGGATGAATATTTGTTGGCTAAATCTGCGGTGTCGTTTAATTCAAAACGATACCGCGAGTAGGCCCAACGGTACCGCGGATTAGCAAACGACAGTGTTTAATAATAAACAGTGTCGCGGAAGAAAAAACAAACGGAGCTGGTTGGGAAAGAAAACGACACCGCAAGGCTGGAAGCGGAGTCGTCTAATGTTAAAACGATGTCGCGGGTAGAATCAAGCGGTGCTGCTCAGTTAAAAACGACACCGTTTAAGGCATCAACAACGCCGCAGTATCACTAAGCGGTGTCGTTTAGTTAAAAACCATACCACAATGGTTTGGATTTTGGCGAGGCCTGGCAAGCACAACGGTGCCGTTTGGTTGAAAAAGAAACAATGTCGCGGAATGGAAAACGACATTGTTTGTCAGCATCGATTAGTGAAAGGTGAGGCCGCGGTATTGGTTAAATGACATCGTTGCATGGACAAGGTTGTAGGATTTGGCTCAATGTCGTTTCGCCAAGTTTCTGCAAACAGGAGCGGTTTCGATGGAACGTGATTTTTACGCAAAGCAGAAAGAGGAGATCAAGGCAGTTGAGACACGTGGGATTTCACAACGGAGCAGTTGAGGAAGCGGTTCCACCGAGCGTGAAGGCTACGAAGCAGTTTTCGAATAAAAGCAGTGGAGCAAGGAGAGAGAAAGGGGACAACCAAATCAACACAGAACAACTCTGTCAAAACTTTACCTTTTCTCTGTAACTCCTTCGCGGAGCTCTCCTTCCAGGAAGGATCTCCATAGTTGGTAGAAGTAGTCGTAGTCGCGGAGCTCTCCACGGGAATCTCCATAGGAGTAGCGGTAGCGTAGATTCCTCAAAACTCAAACACCCTCGTTCGAACGTAGTTTGGAGAGGTGCGAACCGTAGTAACGGTCGTTCTTGGTTAGAAGTCAGAGTTGCACCGATCAAATCAACGAAGCCGACATTCGGCGGCGGATATTTGACGGTCGTCTCGGTTTCAGCTATCAGCGGTGCATTCGATCAACGGCACCGCAAGAGTTTCCATCGTGAAACATCGAATCAACATCGCCGGAAACGAATTCGGCACCGGCGGTGGCATTTGATTTTCCCGGGGAAACATTTTGGCACACCTGGTGGGACACGTGTGTTTGACACGGCTCCGCGTCGAGGAAATCAAGATCGTGATCTTCCACACGTACCTGTGGAGGAGGAGGCGCCCGACATTGAAGTTGGTCAGGCGAACGAGGCAGATAGACGTACTCAAGGGATGGAGGAGCTGCTACATGTTGAAATCCTGTATCTACGTCAATCCATGGAGGAGTTTCGCCAATCCATGAAGGAGTTTCACCAAGAGGTAAATCTCCAATTTGATAATCTTGAAAAGAAAATGGATAAGTTTGAAAACAACATAGATCGATGGTTTGATAAGTTGGATGACTGTGTTTCTGATTTAAGTATGTCAATACATAGAGCCACATGTGATTTTGATGTGTTTAAATCTGAAACCATGTCTGTTGCGTGCAATGATTTGATGGTTGATCGGCTAGCCAAGGTCAACCAAACGCCATCAACGAGTATGGCTACAACATTGTTGCCAGAAGCAAGGAATCCCAATATGTCTCTTCCCGTGAACAACATTGTTCTTAAGGACACGCAAGTTGGAGGTGGCTTGCAGAAACCACCACAAAGAAGCCAGTATCAACGTACTTCTAATAAGAATGAAAATAAGAATCAGGGTGGAGAACCTGGCTACAAACACGTTAAGCATGGAAAACTCACATATGATGTGTTGTCAATCCAACGTCACGATGATGTTCGATCTAAACCGCTAGGGGGGCATGAGATCCCACTGCAAGGCGGGTTGAAGGAGAA